CCCTGGAGACCAGGGACCCCCGGAGCGAGGGAGCAGGAGGGGAATATTGGAGGATGGCAGTGGGAGGAGGGGAAGACGGGGGCCGGGAGGACGAAGGAGCCCTACAAACTTGACACCATCTCCCCAGAGTCTCCCACAGGCCAAACTCGCCAGGCCACGGGGACTCAGCCACCTGGCCTTCCAGTGGAAGCCACCCGGACACCATGTGCTCTGTGGTCCCAAGATGGAACCGGGGAGATAAACCCTGCACAGAATCTGTCTTGATTAAGGAACCACTCTCATCACAGCTCAGCCTCAGCAACCCAGCCACAACCAGGACACCCAATTGTCTCTCCAAAAGGTCAATCAATAGGATGTGTGTTTGTGCAGAGTTCAGCCGGCGGCCAGTCCATCACCACCCACAGCTGCATGCCGGGTCAGCTCTCTAGCGGTTTCTCCCCACTCTCGGAGCTGCCCCCAGTTGTGGGGTGGCCGAGCGTGGCCGGATCATCACAAATGATAAAGAATGTCAGAAGCCATTAGGACCCCTGAACCCAGCAGCCTCTCCTGCCTTCCTAGGGCTCAAAATCTGGGTGAGAATGCTGCGTTGTCACATCACAGAGGGGCAGCCTTCCTCTTGTCTTTGCCCACATGAGGCTTGCCACTGGGCAGTGGCAAATGGGCCACCTCTCACCTGGTGGTGACAGCATCATCCTTCCAGCCGCACCGTCAGTTAGAATGCTGACCTGCTGGTCTCAAGAGAGGCGAGGGGAGGGGCAGATGGGGGTGAGGCTGCCTGCCCAGCTCCGGCCTTTCATCCTTCTCAACCTCTCTCTCCCTGATAGTAGCTTTAGAGTAAATAATCCCCCTGGGCCCAGGTCATTGGACTGCTAACAGGACCAAATCTGACAACAGAAAATTAAGTGCTTATAAGCATACAACATGTCGGAAGAAAAAAAAGGCCAGAAGTCAGGAGACTATAGGTTTGACATGAACTAGGGAAAAGGGGTTTAAACAAGTCATTCGAGTTCTCTGTGCCTCGGTTTACTCATCTGTAAAATGAGACCTGTGGTCCAGATCTCACAAGTCCCTCTTGCTCTAAATGGGCAGAGGAAGCATATTTCATAATGGAGTGCCCAACTCCCCAGCCTTTAGGGGCTACATTTTAGACAAGATCTAAATGTCCCACATTGGTCCAGATTGCTGTGCTGGAGCCCTACATCCCTCCGGTGCCATAGGGTGAGCCCCAGGCCTGGTTTGGCCAATACGGATGTGTAGGTCCAACCACCCTCCTTCCCAGGTCACGTGAAGCCCATACCCCTTCTATTAGCCTGCTCTTGCTCCAAGGGCCTTCTTTTCCTTTCCTCATACTCCCTGCTTCCTCCAGACTTTCGCACATGCTACTCTCACTGTCCACCTGGATCTGGCTTCCCTCCCTGCCCAGGGAATCTCACTTTTCTGCGTCCCTGTGTTTGAGCCCCTTGAGGTTAGATGTTGAGTCCACCTTGTTCCATTTGCATTCCTAGCTCATAGCCAGCATCCACAACATAGTGTGCATTCTATGAATATTTGCAGGATGGATAAATAACTGAATGCGTGAGTGAGCCCAAACTCTATACTCAGAGACCTGCAAATTAGAAGCTCTACTTGTTGATATCTAAGTCATCATTTTTCACTTTAATACAGTTGAGGAAGGTGATGCACAATATCTACATCTGCATCTGCATCTCCCCTTCTCTGACCAAGAGAACTCAGTTTGGTTCAGTGCTGTTCTTCAGACTGCCTTGCAGCTAAGGGTAACCATGTGATTCACTCCAACCGATGATCTGAGAGCAGAAGTCTAGTCAGGAGGCATCTAGAAAACCCACTGTATTCCTGATAAAGGAAAAAGACTTGGCTAGTTCACAGTAACTTTTACCATTTGCAAAAGTTCCCATCTAGAACCTGGACCTGACCTTTTGGGGAGAAAGTAGCAAAGTTGATGCTAAGGATGAGAGAGAAGAAAGAAGGAATCTGGACCCTAATGAATTGCTTGAATAGCTACATTAGCTCTGGATAGCCTATTCTTGTCTGCTTTTCAAGTGACAAAACTAAAATCACTCTTTAAGCCAGTGCGCCCCAATCTTTTTGACATCAGGAATCAGTTTGGTGGAAGACAGATTTTTCCACAGGCCAGAGGTGGGTCCATGGCCAGGGGTTGGGGATCCCTGCTCTAAAAAGCAGACAAGGTCGGAGGGGAAGGAAAGCAAAGTTGCATCTTCTCTCCCATGCTGCCATCTTTGTTTCTTTTCCCAAAATCAATCCATTGAGCAACTGATCAATCTATTGATCATTCTCTTGGGATGAGAATTCAGAAGATCAACTCTACCTACAAGATTCTACTGCAGTCCTCTAGGACTTAAAATTCATCTGAGTCATCACTGAAGGTGAAAGTGGAGAGTAAAAAAGCTGGCTTAAAACTTAACATTCATAAAACCAAGACAACAGCATCCAGTCCCATCACTTACAGATGGGGAAATAATGGAAACAGTGGCAGAGTTTATGTTCTTGAACTCTAAAATCACAGTAATGGACAGTGACTGCAGCCATTAAATTAAAAGACACTTGCTCCTTGGAAGAAAATCTATGACAAACCTAGATAGCACGTTAAAAAGCAGAGACATCACTTTGCCAACAAAGGTCTGTATGGTCCAGGCTATAGTTTTTCCAATAGGTGTGTACAGTACTAGGAGTCAGTTTCTTGGAATATAATTTTTCCACAGACTGAAAGGTGGGAATGGTTTTGGTTTTGCTTGCCTGATTACCTTCTGCTGTGCAACCTGGTCCCTAACAGGCCACAGACCAGAACTGGTCCATGGCCTGGAGGATACCACCATGATCAGGCTCTATTACAGACAGCCAAATGGAATCCTGAGTCAACAGCTAAACAGAAATGAACTGTGTGACTATTTGTGCATTCAAAAACCATTCACTGAGTTCCTACCATGTGTCAAATACCATGTAGTACATGTATGATAAATTCATATACATGGGCTGGACAGCCCATGGACAGGAAGCCTGGCTAAGGGAGCCTGCTCATCATTCACTCATTTCTCCATCTACTCATCCTCCTGTCTACTCAGCTGTCCTTCCATCCGTTCTGTTCAAAAAGTATTTCTTGAGCACTCACTCTGTGTCAGGCCCTGTGCCAAGCACTGGGGATGCAGCCCTGAACCAGTGACACAAAGCCCCTGCTCTCATGAAGCTCTCACTCAAGCAGGGGAAGCAGTCAAGACAACAGACAATCACAGTAGCACATTGTTAAGCGCTTCATAAGAGATGGGCAGGGGGTGGTGGACGTACGTAAGAAGGGCACCTAATGCAGATGTGGGGCTGGGGGGCTTTGGTCTCCTCACCTATAAAATGGTAGCATTGGGAATTGACCAACTGACCTACAGGGTTTCTAGGAGGATCAGCTGAGATCGTGCATGTGAAAGAACTTTACAGAGCACCATGCCATCCCAGGCTTCTTCCGAAAGGACAAAAGACACACACTAGGCAGCATTTTGGGGGTCTCTGGCAATGACAGCTCTGCAGGCTGAAGCCATAAGCCGATGCTCCATCCAAATAAGACCATCTCCTGACAGGCAGGTGATGAAACACCAGCCCTCCGCAAGCATTTTTACTGGTTTTATTCAACGGTGGAGAAAACCTGCATGGAAACGTCATGCTCTAGAAATGCCCCAGGTTGGCTATCTGGCCAGCCTTCTGGAGTCACGAGGGGTGGTGTGAGTGCAGAGGAGGAGTTGATGGGCAAGGAAGGCTGAGGCTAAGGATTCAGGCTGTGGCCAGAGTATATGGGGAAGTTTAAGGGTTGAAACTCTGATAGTTGGAACACCAGAAATCCATGTCAATCTCAAAGGATAAGAAGGATGTTTGGAGCCTAAGACAGGGTTCTTGGATGAATGTTGTTTTAAACACAGAGTAAACGCCTTCAAGCTAGAAATCCAGTCTGCTCCTTGGGACCTGCCGTGTAACAAGGCACCGTCCGCTATCAGCAGTGTAGAATCGAGTTTTTAAAACTGCTGTGTATTTTAAATAAAACACACCAGGAGGAGAAAAGAGCAGAAGATCCATCATCATCTCCCTGAGGTAGGCTTCAGCTCCAAGGAAACGAAAAGTCAAGTGGATACAAGAGTCTGGCCTCCAGACTCAATGCTTAGAGCTCTTTCCTCTCCTGGGAAAACTGCATGATGTAGTGAGGGAGGGGCATATTTTCAACCATTCACTGACCACGAGCAACCCTATGAGCTTCTTAAATCCTTAAATCCTATGAGCTTCCCTAGTCTTTACCTGTAAAAATGTACCATGGCACTAGCCCATCTCATAAAGTTGTGAGAATTAGCTAGGATGGTGCATTCAAAGGCATCAGGTAAATTTGGGTTCAGCACAAAAAGGTGGGCTCACTGATACTCCCATAGCTCCCAGGGATGGTGACTGGGATGATGCAATCTTAGTGGCAGAAGAAACACCTTCAAACTTCCCCAGAACTGAGCTTCGAGCCCTGAAAACTGTAGGCGGTAGCCATTGGCTGGAGCCAGGGCAGCCTAGGTCTACGTGGATCCGGTGGGAGGGAGTGAGAGGGGCTGCTTTGGGCTCTAAGGTCACCACGAATATCTCAAGTAAAGCATGTCCAGCAGTGGGTGCTCTGTGAGTGACAGCTACAACCCCTCAGAAGACCAGCCTGCCCAGCTTTCATCCCAAAAACACACATATCTGTGTTCAGAATCCACTGCTGCCCAGTGATGACTTAGGGCTCATCGCTTCATCCCCCAGCACTGAATTTCTTATTACAAAGTGGACAGTAACTTGCTCAACTCCTACCCAGGGTGGTGACGAGATGTTGTTTCTATCACTACCGAAAATCTATGTAACTGTTGGATCTGCCTCATATGTATTCAGGGTCCCATTGTCCGGATTCTCAAAGTTGGCTAAACACAGCAAGACATCACACAGAAACAACAAAATGCAAAGCTGCCAAATTAAACTAGCAAATCAGAACCAGTGATTATCAGGCCTAAAGATTGGTTTTGGTTTTGTTTTCTTCTTCTTCTTCAGGTTATTCGGATGGGCATTCCCATTTTGTTCTAGATCATGGTTTGGGCTCCACCATGCAACCAGTTTGGAGGTCCTCTCTGAGGCGTGCCCTTTGAAAATTGAACAGAGTGAGATTTTAGTCCACAGCATTTGTTCATTTTTAATATAAGTAATTAAACAAGTGATTTTTTTTCTAAAGGAACTCCATTGCTTTTGGTTAAGCACATTCATATAAATGATTTTTAAAAAGCTAATCTCCTAATGAGTTGAGAATTTGATATCGATTCAGTAATTACAAAGCATATTGCAAAATCAATGATAAATACTCCTGAAATTCCTATTGATTAGCTCTGATAAGATTATATTGAACAGAGATGACGTATTTAAGAGTGCCAATATGCACACAACTTGACACACTCAGCAGCAATGGCAGAGCAGGGTAGACCTCAGGCCAGTGGGGAAGGAAATCTGCTCAGTACGTACTGTTCATGCTCTTTCCACACACTTGGTTCTGGCTTTTGAAGCTGCTGGTTAATGAAACATAAGATTATTACTCCCTTGTGCATTTAAGTTTTCAGGTCTTTATACAATAATTAATTAGGATTATGTGACAAGAAGAGAATTTCCACTAGGAAAAGAAAAACTAATAGTACTGCTTTAACAAATGATGCTTAAACTCCTATTGACTCAACTTAATTTATTTAATCTTTCTACCTAGACCACCCTGAAGGTAATTATTCAACTTTAAATACTTTTAAACTAGTATCTTTTAAGTCTGGGATTTCTCACGTAGCCACTTACTGTCTAATAAAGTAAGTTTCCTGGGAATGAAGTGTTTCAAATTACAAAGAAACAGGTAAACTCATAAAACATACTCATCAGCGGTTCTCCATGTGTGGTCCCTGGATCAGTAGCGTGGCACCACTCGGGAGCTTGTTAGAAATGGGAATGCCCAGAGCCTCACTCCAAACCTGCTGAACCAAAAACCAGGGGTGAGGCCCTGCAATCTGTGTTTTCCCGAGGTGATTCCAATGCCCTCTCAAGGTTGAGAACCATTACTATAGGTCATGAGGGTTTTCCTGAGCATCTACTATATGTCTGCAACTCTGCCACATGTTAGGAGACACAGGAGAACACGAGGTAGCTGCCCTTGGGCACCTGACAATCTGGTTAGGGTGTTAGACTTACATACTCAGTTCTGTCAGTAACTAGCTGCAATATCTTGGCAAGACTTAGCCCCTCCACACCTGCCCTGTGATGTGAAAACAAGGGCTGGCTTCCCTGCTGACTCACCCCCTTGAATGGCATGGTCTTTGATTTCCCCTGTGAAAGTCACTTCTTTGGGATTCACAGCAGGAACCAAACCCAGTCTAGAAACAGGGAATGACACTAAGACAGGGTGGGAAATGCCTCCCCTTCCCACGTGGGAAACACTCTTCCAGTCCTTTCCTGCCCTCAGACCACTAAGCCAGGCCTCATCACAGGAGGGCTGGGGCCGGGTGTTTTCTTTCCAGCTGGTCTGAGGAAACTGCACCATCAAACCTTGGGTGGTGAGGAGTATCGTTCATTTATCAATACCAAGACAATCCTGAAACGGGAAAGGCAAATTCCACGTGATAAAAGGCCTAGGCAAGGGAGAGGGCATTATAACAAACACCCCTACTACTCCACCGCTGTGCCCAAGACCCTCTAGCTGGTCTTTGCTGATCTCCTGGTCCTCACATCACCCACTCCTCCCAGTACACTGTGAGGCATGACTGTTTTTAATGAAGTGAATGCTTACTTGTGGGTCACTGGCCCTAAAGATCATCCCCAAAGAGAACTTCCTGACACGCTTTGCATGACAACATCATCACTTCCAAGGACATAGTCATCCAGAAATACAGCACATACAAGAATAAGTCTGAACTCTGTGTCATATTAAATTCAATGGATTATCTTAATAGTCATGGCGTGTTAGAGCTAGAAGGATCCTCAGGGGTTAACGAACTCCCTTGTGTTACAGTCTATAGGGCAAAATTCAGCACTTAATTGTATCTTTATTAATAGGACAATGAATGATTTGTCCATTATTGCTCTATTTCTATTAGTTAAGTTTGGAATCAAGACTTGAACCCAGAGCTTTTGACCTGAAACTGGTTCTTTCTCCATCACCAAAGGAAGATTTCTCACCTATAGCAGAAATGGAAGGAGGGACGCAGTAAAAAGATGTTTCTTTATGCACTCCATCTGTTCATTTTCTTCCATGAAAATATACCTTAGAGAAAGGCATTTTTCAACAAATCTTTAAAACTGACTTTGTAAAGTGTGCCATTCCATTCCTAAGGCTTTACCTGCCCCCCATAATACCGATTATCTCCCCCAAAGAGTTGATACCTCCATTTGAGACACTGTCTTCTGGGTTCCCAGCCACGGCCCACCCAAGAAACATCCCCTTGACTCAATCCTCCCCTTCTCTCTCACATCCTTTGGGAAATAGCTACGTAACAATTTTATCCTGAGGGATGATGTGTCGACAATGGTTTCCTTGCCTTACTTTAAAGGTATATGGATATTTACAAAAGGCATGACCCTTCCTCCCTAAGTGGTGATACTCCTGGCATTGGTGGTCAACAGGTTGGAGAAATTTTTCAGCCACTGATGGGGGAGAGGAGAGGGGAGAAGTCACTGGTGCCCCCCAGTCACTCACATAGCTGATCTGACTGCTGGGTGGCTGTCCCCCTTTCGGCAAGGTTTCCCTTTTAAATGGCCCAATCGATATTCATTAGGCATTGCCAGCTCCCCATCTCTCCCTAACTGATTTATCCGCCATGCTATAAAACCCATTAAAAATTAATCCTCTAATAGACAAGGGCTCAAATTGGCTGCCCGGAGGTTCCGGATATAAGACAGATGTGTGTTGCTTCCAAGAGGGAGCGACTCAAAGGCAGGGGCCATGCAGGAGCAGAAGGTCCCCTCTCCAAACCCTTGTGCCCAGGAGAGCCCAGGAGCAGCCCTAGTGACTTCTGTCTTCGCCAAGAAAATAGTGTCCCAAAGAATTCCAAATGGGAAGGGGTCAGTGACCTGGTCTTCCTCCTTAGGACTGGAAAATAAAGTTCCTGGACAACCTCCTGACCCAAATCAGGCTCATCTGGGACAGAGGACGATAGGTTATACTCTCTGTGCAAAAAGCCCATCCCTGACTGCGTGTCCCCAGCCTGCCCCACCCTCCCCTGGGCACCAGGGAACTTTGATGGCTCTCGCCTCTCAGTGAGTGTTTTTCTGTGGCACATCTTTCCCTTTCCGTCCTCTGCATGCAACTATCCCTCAAGGGCTTCCTCCTCCTCCCTCCACTTCCTTTCTTAGCACTCTCATAATTCTAGTTATCACCTTTTATCATTCATTCATTCAACAATGACGTCCACGGTGAGGTCACTATCTGTCCAGTACCAGATAGAATCTCTTGGAGCCAGACATGCACAGGCAGCCCTGCGCCCCTGGCGTTTCCTGTTCTATGCGGGAGAAAGAGTCAGTTACCACTAGTGACCACATCCATCTGGGAGGACTTTCAGAGTGCGGTGGATGCTTGGGGCAAGGGATACCAGCCCAGGGGGCCTGGAGGCCATGAAGTCCCATTGGAGCCCTGGCTGGAACAGTGGGGAGAGTTAAGGACGCAGCACTGATAGGGTCAGGTCCAGAGAGGAGAGAGAGCCCGGGACCCTTCCAGGCCTGGGAGGATTGAGGCAGGAGCAGTGAGAGCTGGGAGTGGAGAGTAAACAGAGGCTGGATTGCCATGAGCTTTGAAGGCAAGAAAGTGTTTCACCTAAGAGAGGAAAGTATTCAGATTTATTTGTCAGAAAACTCACTGGAGCTGAAGGGTGGAAAACAAGAAAGAGTGAAAGATTGAATCTGAGGAACCCAGTAAGGCAACATTTGAGATAAGAGAGAGGCCTGGGCCAGAGCAGAGACAGCAGCCGTATCCAGAAGTAGGGCACAGCTTAACTGAGTGGGCCAAGAATGTGTTAGACACCAGGGCTGACACACAAGCCCTGGGTCAGCCTGAAGGTGATTAATATCCACTGCTAGATTTAGTAATGCAATTGACAGATCTGAGCTTAAGAATGTGTGTATGTTTTTGTAATGCTCCATCATGTAGCTTAACTTTTAAGAAGCTGTACATATTCACTCCTGAATTCATTCCACAAATACTCACTAAGCACCTACTATGTGCCAGGTACTATGCAAGATGCAGGGAATATGATAATAAAACAGGTACAGTCCAGGCCCTCAAGGAATTCACATTCTTTAGTATAATACTGGTGTAGCATTATTTTCTAGGAAAGGGAAGGTGGGTCATGTGCCACTCCCACTTTTTTCTGGGGTTCATGGGTGGGACTTGCCCATCCAACACATCATCAATGGGTTTTTCCCTTCCCTCCTGGCATCGTGTACCTGAGGGGAGTAACCAGACCCCCTAACTGAGTGGCAATGCCAAGCCTCCATCACCCTCTTGATAGTTCGCCTGGGATCTGACCTGCCCCATAGGTCAGCAGGCCGTCCCTCTGAGCTTGAGTGAGGGGCTTTCCACTCCCCAGAGCACATCTCATGGCTTTGCCATATCCTGCCTCTGTGAAATCCTGCATCCAGCTTCTGAAATATCCTATTGGGTGGAACAGGGAGGCAAGCACGTGGCCTGGGGACAAGGAGGAACAATGATAATGCTTCTCAGACCCTGAGATCTGGAGACGTGAGAGCTGACAGAGATCAGAGCTAAGCGCTATGAGAGGTATGAAAACAGACGGGAGCTCCATTGCAGGTGGTAGAATTTGACCACCCCCTGCCTCCCAACTTTAAAAGAAGAAAGTCCCAGATTAGTAAAACTACAGTTCTAAGATGAAGCAGCAGGCCATAATTCAAGCAGTTTCAAGAAGGATTTGGATAAACTTATGGAAAATTCTTTATGGCTGATTAAGTGGAATTTGGGAGTGCTGGAGGCAAGTCCAAAATTGTTGACCCGTTAGAGTGATGGCTGTTAAATGCTCTCTTTTGGGGACAGTTGCCAAGACTGGATGAACCAGTGGATGGCCCGTGATGGCATTTCTGATGCCCGCAGGACAATGAGGCCCAGTGCACACCTGAGGCATACCCAAAGGTCTCCGCCTGACTGTTCTAGCCCGCAAGGACATGGGTGGCTCTTCTCATCACTACCATGAAATGTGCAGTTGCCAGCCTATCCTGGGGTTTGCATATTTCCAGATTTACATGCACTGGTACGCTTCCCTCCAAGAAACCTTTGCTGTGGCCTCCCGTCCTACTGTTGCTCAGGACCTAGGATGTGGCAGATCTCCCCACCCACCCCAGAGCCAGGACCCTCAGGAGAAGACCTGGATTGCTACTTACTCTCTTACTGGGAGCCAGAGTAAGGAGCACTCTGGAAGCTGAAGGTGACCCTTCCTTCCTCTTCCCCGCTCAGAGGGCTCACGCTCCCACCAAGAGCAGCATTCTGCTCACAGTTTCCCGGGAATGATGGTTCCCGAGAGCCCCTGTCAGAGGGGCTGCGACCCTGCATACCCTTCTTCCTCCAGCCTCAGACTCCACCCATCAGCCCTCTGCTCCCCCAGCACATTTCCTTGCCCGAGTCTCTGTCCATATGATGGTTGGCTGGTTGGTCAATTTTCTGAGTGCCCCACCCTGCACACTCTTTCAGTGCAGAAGGAAGGCACCTCCGTGAAGGGCTTTGTTGGGACCAGCAGTCCCCTGCTTGCCATATGGGCAGCCCCTGTGCTGAGCCCATCACTGGGAGAGACCCAGGGCCTTAGTTCTGAATTCCTCACCCCCTTATCGTCTTGCCGCTCTCCCCATCTGTTTCTGAAGAAGGAGCCCATCCAGCATCCACCAGAATGACTGACTATATGATGAAGGCAGACTGGCCCAGAGAGACAGGCTGGTTACCTTGCTGCTAACCCAGATGGGGACTGATGCCCAGGGCTCTGCAGGCTCTAAGAAAAATGGGAAAATAGGTGATTTGAGCCTTCAGATCTTTTCCCAATATTCTCATGCTATTCTCAGTCTCACCTATCCATTCATTTATTCATTCAACAATACTGATTAAGGACCTACTATGTACTAGGTCCAGGAACAAGCGAAGAATAGGACAGACATGGTCCCTGCCCTTATCGTGTTAATAGGAAGAAAAGGAATAACTTTACTGATAGATTGATGTTCAGCGTATTGGCAGAGACTAAGTTCTTGGGCTTCCCTGGTGGTTCAGCTATAAAGAACCCACCGACTGATACAGGAGCTGCAGGTTCGATCCCTGGGTTGGGAAGGTCCCCTGGAGAAGGAAATGGCAACCCACTCCAGTATTCTTGCCTGGAAGTCTCATGGACAGAAGAGGCTGGTGGGTTATTGTCCATGGAGTTGCAAAAAAGTCGGNCCCCTGGAGAAGGAAATGGCAACCCACTCCAGTATTCTTGCCTGGAAGTCTCATGGACAGAAGAGGCTGGTGGGTTATTGTCCATGGAGTTGCAAAAAAGTCGGACACAACTTAGCAACCAAACAGTCACAGTTTTTAATATTAAAAATGTGGGTCCCCCCAGAACTTTTAGTCCCCTCTGCAGAGTAGATTTTGAATAGGCGGGTCTTTCCAAGACTCTCAAGGCTCACTCCATAAGTAACTGTACTCTGGCTCCCCCAGCGTTCAGTTCTGCCTCCACCTCTGACTTCAGCGCCCCCCACTCCCGTCCCAGTCCCCGATCCCCTTCCTTCTCCTGACTGTCCCAGCTCCTCCTCCCTCCCCCATCTCTGTCTCTTTCACACACTTCGCCTTCAGCCCACCCCTCGCTGCAAGCAAGAACAGCAGGACTAATTTCATTTCTCTCCTTTTCCTTTGGTGAGTCGATCTGTGACAACCCTTTTTATGCATTTAATTCATTCTCAATTTCTCATAATCAGGGGGATGGTATCCCCTAAGGTTAGGTGAGAGCTTGTCAGAAAAAAAGAAAAAAGGCAGGGTAAATTCACTGAGGTAATCAGAGTCTATCTCCACTTCCCACTGCCCATGGAACTATTAACTAATATCGCTCTCTAATCTTTTTTGTACTTATTTATTTTGTGGCGAGAAACTAGTGTTATAAACACCCCTACTGTCAAAACTTGTCATCCCCATTACCTCAAGGCGGGCTTCATCTCTGTTATTCTAATTTCAGAGTTCCTCAAATTCACAGCCGCTGGAAATTGAGTACAAAATCCATTATCATTTGTATATTTTAATTATGCAAATGAGGCAGCTCAGCTGCGATGTCCGGGACCTGCAGGGATGCCTGACTTGATTCTGGGTGATTACAATTTATCCAGTCGAGTCACTTTAATTGTAACAAGCTAATTACATTGTTTCATTTGGCTTTAACAAAGGAAAAAGAGACAGGAAGCTGGATGTGGCTCAGGCCCCCGGAACAGACCGCTGCTGTCTCCCGATTGCCCAGCGGAAATGGCCCAGGGACTGGGTACGAGCGTTCTGTGCCCAATGGAGGGGCTAGTGGAGGACCCCAGAGAAAGGTCAGTGGCCAGATAGTAGAGGCAGCTTCCCCACGCCCCCCGGCAGAGGCCTGCCCAGAGTGGAGTCTGCCCAGCTGATGGGAGGACTGTCATTCCAGCAGGAGTTTATCCACGAGCAAGCCTGACCTTGAAGAGATCAGACCATCTTACAGAAGGGCCTTCTCCACTCCAGCTTTTCACGGCCCCAGGCTGATATCCTGAAGACCCACCAAATTTTCACTGTTGGTGAATCTGTGAGCGTGTGTAATGTTTCTGGCTAAATCTGTGCTTCGGCCAGTGAGGACCCAGTGGAAGTGTTTCCACGGTGACACAGAGGAATCTGCAGAAATAGGCAAGGGAAGGAGGGCAGAGAGGAGACAGCCGTTGGGCACACTCTACCAAGGGTTCGGATGCTTTGCAGATTCACTCACTAGGGTCATACTTCAATTTCTTTGACCAATGATAAACATGTATTCATTTGACCTGGAAGTAGCTGTTTTCTCTCCCAGCTGCCAGTAAGCAGAAAGTGCTTAAGTTTATAAGTGTGTTCAATGTTTCAGCAGAATGAGAGTCCCCTGGAAGCACAAGGCTCATGTATATTTACAAATGACCATTCCTCATAACAGAGTTATAGCAGGCCCAGAATTACACTGTTTGCCACAAAGGACTCATATTTATGGTCATTAACTTGAGGTGTTGCCATGTTTTTTTCTAATGAATTAGTTTGGTTCACCTCCCGCCAGGACCAGAGCTCATGACCTTTCCACCCCTGAGTCTGGGCCAGACAGAACCTGTGACCTCCGCTGCCTACAATAGGCATCAAACTCAACATCAAAGCCCAAAGATTAGGTTATTGGCCTAGTGACATCAGCAAATCATTAATAACTGATATGTATGTAGGTTTATTGAGACTCTTCTGATTACAGTCTCCACTTCCAAGGTGTTTTACTCTAAAGACAGAAACAAGGCTTACATGTTTTTAATAGAGACAACACTGGGAGACAGGAGGTGATCTGAGGAAAGAGACATCCACAGGGCCTGAGACAGTAGTCATAATAGCCAAGTTCATGGTTGAAGGGGCCGGGTTCCCGATGAGGTGAGCACGGAGTGGGGTCAAGGCAGTGATCCTGATGTTATAAAGGATGCCTGATCATTAGCATAAGGGCTTGCAGGTATAACGGGAATGACGTGGCCAGTCTCCTGTGGTGGGGGAGATTGCTGGACAGTGGGAAAGGTGGGAACAGACTCTGATGAGCCAGGAATGCCAGGCAGAGTGTAGTGCCAACCTCCTAGAGCTAAACAAGTGAAGCAAGGGGCATGGTCTTCCCCATCAAGCCCACCACGTAGTGGCATGTCTATCTGCCAGACAAGCCTGAACGCCAGGGAGCCAAGGGAGCCTGGGGGATGGGCAGAACGGACAACTGAATGACACCATCTGCTGTCAGCAGGATTCAGGATGAAACGCTTCTTGGTGAGGCTGGGGTGAGGCTGGGGCATGCCTTGGGAAGATTTTTGGAAGGACAAGGTTGTGTCCCAGTGGATCAGCAGGAGGAAGAGATTTGTGGATGGAGGAACAGCATGAGCAAAGATGCCAAAGGAAGAGACAGTGGCAGACAGTGGCAGACGCTGGAAGGAGAGAGGTGGAGACGTGGCTGGTGGGTACACGTGAGGCCAAGGCTGCGTGACTCTGTTCCAGGAACAGGCTCTGTGCCACTGAGTCCTAGACTGTCAATTTCTTTTCCTTCCCCTGCTGCCTGGACACCCAAAGAGGAAACCTGGTGTCATGTCCAGCCTGGGACTGCACCGTTGGAGGGAAGTAGAAGGAAGAGGAGAGAAATAGGGAGTTTGAGAAAAATGGCACATGGCTGGAATGAACGTTTCTTCAACCACCAATCAGCTAGGTGGTTGATACTATGTCACTGAAGTGCCCAGAACCTGTTTTACCTAATCCATCAAAGGTGAGAGGGCAGGGGGTAGACAATGTGATCTGCAATCAACAGGATATGGAGGTCTCCTGAATCAAGAATTTGGTACATTTATATCTCACTAGGTGATGTCAGCCTCTGTTCAGAAATACTGCTCTGCATTGGGAGAGTGGTTGGTACAAAAAGAAAAAAAAAAAAATTGAGACTGCCGCTTCTGCGTGAATTCTCCAGCTCTAAGTAAATTAGAGCCAGATGCCCAGTTCCTCATCGCTCCATCAGATGACTCCATGGAGTAATTATGATACTTTATGGGCATTAACTCACTGATTCTCATCATGCCCTGAGAGGGAAGCGCTCCGATCATTATATTCTCTGTACCCAGGGAGGGGGGAACATCTCATTCTCTCCGTGTGTGCCTCCCGACAGCACCTGTCCCCCGCCTGCTCTGGTAGGAGAATGCCAGGACCAGCCGCACTCTGGGAAGATGGATGAGCCCGAATCAAGGTTCTGGGAAAGAGAAAGCAGTGACGGTGGGGGAGGACGGTCCAACAGCAGAGGGCTCAGAGAGAGGCATCTAGAGGGAGGGAAACTGGCTAAGCTCGACACAGTAATATCTGAGGGAAGCAGAAGACGGCTCTCAGCTCTGGAACCATCTAGCCTTGGAAGAGGGAGGAAGCACTGAGGCTAACCTGGGGCGGCAGCTTGAAGCCGAGAGGAGGGGATAGTCATGATGAGGAGATGGGATCAAGGGGCATCCCTGGGACGTGCCGAGTAGGGACCTCAAGAAAGTACCCACTGGCTCTTCTGTCCCTCTTTCAAAGACTCCTCACATGGGGGCACATCTTAAGTGCTTCTTCATTCCAGAAATCTTACAATTATTAAAGCCTAGAGTTTACACTAACATAAATTATCTTTTTTAATGATCAGGTGACTGAAGCCCAGAGAGGCGAAGCAAGTGACCTAAGGTCACACAGCAAATGGGTGCTGTCTCTGGGACTGGATCACACATCTCCTAATTCCCACAGGCTTGGATGGCATCACCAACTCGATGAACATGAGTTTGAGTAAACTCTGGGGGTTGGTGATGGACAGGGAGGCCTGGCGCGCTGCAGTCCATGGGGTCGTAGAGAGTCAGACACGACTGAGCAACTGAACTGAAGTGAACCAATATCATCTTCATGTCTCTTCTCTGAATTCCTTCCCTCACTTAAGGGAACCCTGCCACCTGACTCTCAATATTATGCTCTCATACAATTCACTCCTTCTCCCTCCAAATAAATCAGAAAATTGTCACAGGCCAAAACCATGCCTTGGGCATCCCCAGTGGCACCCTCTGAGTCTAAGCCAGGATTAGGCACATAGAGTGAGGAAGGACAGGACCTGTTCGATGAGAGCATGTGTGGATCCCGACCAGAGGTGCCAGGCCAGGAGGGAAGATTGGAAATATTAGTGGGGGAGCTGGCGTGGGGGGACTCAGAATTAGCCAACAAATAAGCCAGGAGGGAGGAGATAGTCATGAACATCTGCCATCATTGAAAGCACCAGCCAAACAGCCCTCAAAGCACGTGAGGAACCGTGAACAAATGGGGTCTCTGGGCTTCTGAGAGCAAGTGACCTCCCACAGAGCATGGGGCATGGTGGGGATGAACACCCGGGGCTGTGCAGGCATGGGAAACGGAAACATGGGCTGAAGGCATGGCAAGGCAGGATTATCCACCCTGCACACGGCCAAGGGCACAGGTGTTGGCGGAAAGGTGAACGAGAAGGGGCTCTGTCCACCCTTCAGCTTGTTCTGCTTAAGCAGATGTCTTTAGCCTGTCTGTACATTACCATGTTCAAGACTGTATTATTGGGGTGATCTTTCTTTGTCTTCTACCTATACATGGCCCTAGAGCCACTGCCACTATGACACAGAATGTCAGAAGTCTCCAAGATGGGGAGTCCTGCAGAGCCTGGTGCCACCCCTTGCAGGGACCCCCACAATGGGGCCACCCCCAGATTCATCATCCAAAGACTGGCCGGGGCAGCTCCACCCTTCCGTCTCTCTGTGTCTCAGAGATAAAGGCAGGCATCCCATCCTGCTGTCCACACCTGCCATACGATAGATGGCAGGCTGTAAATAATTAACGAGAATCATTTTGTAATGCGCTGACCCCTGAACATTGCACATCACTCATTCTGATACTCCTGCTCTCCTCTGCTCCCTCTCCGTCTCTTTCATTCCAACAGCTCAGCCTTCTCTCTTGGGCGTCCACCAAACACCACATCAAGGGCAAGTGCCCCTCTGCATTTCGTATAAGATGCATCATGTCAGCAAGAGTGTCTGGCCTCTGAGATTCCTTTGATAACACAAGTGATTGGCATAGGTGGCTGGATGGGGAAGGTGTTGAGGCCAGGGCTGCTCCTGCTTGGGTTGAGGGGTGCCTTGGATTCCTGGGACTCACCCAAAAGTTCTGGCCTGGGGGAGGCCACCCTGAAGAGCCATGGGCCTGGAAGAAGAATCTGATGACAGTCTGGGTGACTCTGCCCTCCAGGGCCTCATCCTCTATGTGAGACAAAAAGCCACACACAGGAAGTACTAAGATCTACACAAGTTCCCTGAAGAATTTCCTCTGTCCCTGAATTTCATGCCAGCCTATTTGTACGGATATCTCCTGTGTGTCCAGGTCGGTAAGGCTGATGTGGAAAAGTATGATAGAAGACTAACCCCCCCCCCTTGTCTGGGTGCTTGTTATCCAACTGGGAAATGGGGACTCAAATACAAAATT